TAGTGTCACTGGTATCTCTTCTACCAAGTCTTTGGCCCTACATGGACACATTTTGGTCTCTACTACTACTAACGCTATGTTGTTCCTGTTGACACTGACTTACTACCAACCCTGGTGGCCTTTTCTAGTTTCTTATGTTCCTGCTTTTCTGTTGCTGTTTACAGGTGGTCCTTTACCCTTCCTTGTAGAAACTTCCTTCCATCATTTCTGGATCTACATTATCCTCTTCTGATTCCTGCCCTTATTCTCTTTGTGTCTCTGCTATTAAGAGTGAATATCCACCAAGAACACCACTGTTCCTAAACTTGGAGGCTTTCCCTAACTGCACCCTAGAGGTCTGCCCTATGTTTCTGTCTCTAAAATTAAAGTAGTCATCTTCTCCATGGACTAGCCTTTTACTCTGATGGCTATGACTTGGCACACATCTTTGGTCTTATTTTTTCCCCTTGACTTTGAACCAGAAATACCTTTCAGTCAATCTGACTTTAGAGTTTTAAGTTTTGTTGAATTTCTTTCCTGTTGGTCCCCACCCCTTGCTCATTTAATTCTCAAGTCCTATAGTTCTGGTATTACCTCCATATGGCACTCCTTAATTTATTCACTGAATTTGTTTATGATCTTGTCATAGAGATTGAAGATCTATCTTATTTATCTCATCCCTGTCCTCAGCTTCCTCCAAAACTCATTACTTTGTATTCATCATTTTCTTCTCTACAAACATTTCAGTCTTAATTTCTTCTCTATGATTGTCATTTGTCAGTCAAGAGTGTTATTTCATGACCCTCCATTTGAAAAGATAAAGGCAATGATTGACCATCCCAGTCTTTCCTCTACTTCTTTTTTCTCTTTCTGATTTTTTTCAGCTTCTCCAGTCATTGTATATTTTTTTGTCACCAGAGTTGGTAACATGGCTTGCTTCTAACATGTAGAGTATTTGTAATATTTTGCCTATCTATGTACTATTCAGCACAAAGCCAAATGGGGTTCTTGGGTTTCTTCCTCCTCTGTGTGCCCACTGCCAACATTGCTGTACTGCCTGAAGGAGAATGCTCCTAGATTTGAATGGTTCTCCCTTTTCTTGCTCTACCATATAGTCAAGTCTGTCCCAAATCTCCATAGTATTTTCCATTTCAGTGATCTTCCCTCTTTCCTCTAAAGCATTCTCCCATTGCTCCTTGTCCTCCTGGTTGCCAGGCAAACTCCCTTTTAGGGGAAACCAGTTTTTGTACTAGGAGAAATCAAAATGTCAGGTGAGGGCTTCCTTATGGAGGAAAGGAATAAGTGCAGTGGTTCTCCCTAGATACTTTAATTCCCTTAGAGAATTCTAATTTTTCCCTTGAGGGGGCAATATAAAATTTGACTTCCAAATTGCTAGATTTGGGGAGAATAGTTATCTTCACATATTGACTCTCAATGAAGACACTATCCCTACTTGTCATTTTCTCCCTTTGCCATGGTTTCAGCATCCAGAACCCCTTATGGTCCTGGGAAGATTGCTTCCTTTGTGTCTGCACTCACACAAGACTTCTCTCAGAGATTATGTCATTAGCTAGTTTGCAACCCACTAGGAAGTCATAAAGCCATGAAACAAATGTAGAGTGGTTCAAGACTTCTCAAAAATATAGATTAGAGCAGAAAATGTCAGGCTATCCTGTAGATAATAAATATAAATATTGTCTTGTGAAAGTTGTTTTGCTTACGTGTAAAGACGCAGGTATAGATATAGGTATATACCTATATGTAAAATGTTCTCCTTACTGAAGGTTGAGGTAAAAAAAGTTAGAAAAGTATCTTTGAGGGGCCATGGCTTCCTCCATGCTGCTGCAAGTCAGTGTTTCCAGTGCCCTTTGAAATTTTTACAAATTTGTTAAAATGCTTCTGTACACTTATTAATGGGTGATGCAAAATATTCTTAGAAACCTGTATGGAGCAGGTACTGATCAATCAGGATGAATGCTGGAACAGAGACAGAGTCCTCTAGTTCTGCTAGGTATTAACAATGTTTGGGACTGTGTTGGGAGAATAGTGAACAGGATGGGGGTCCACCAGTGGAGGAACACGGAGAGGCTTGGAATAGTTGCTCTTCACAGTATTAAATGTGTTAGTTAAACCATTAGTGTGACTGTACTGTGGCAAAGAGCCAAATGTCAATTCTGGATTATGTCTTTTTTCCCCTGACTTATAGTTTTAAGGACATTTTTGAATGAAAGGAGATATAGGGTTGTCTCCCAATCCATCTTGAACTGGAAACCCTACAGTTTTCATTTTTTATTTAGTTAAAAAATATTTTAGGATCTCTCTTTTTTTCATTGCCATTATATTGCTAAGACTAAACTGATGCTCATTAGTGATAATGAAGCCTTTTTTCTGGAAGTGGGAAGGGGAGAAGGAAATCCTAATTTAAATAAAGAGAGAGACTTTTTTTTTTCCCTGAAATAGTTGGTAAAAGAGAAGGAAAGGAAGAAGAGTTAAAGAGGATGTATGCTTTGTAAGGCCAAAATGGAGGTAGCTAAGTGATGTAGCTGGAGGAAAAGGTAGATGCCATCCATGAAGGAGGAGAGGATAGTAGGATGGTTGTCACCCTTCCGAAGTAGTGCAAAGGAGTGATGGGGCAGTTTGCTCTGCTTGCAGATGCCCAGGTTGCATCTGCTCGTGGCTTTATTTCTTTCTTGGTGGGGCTGTGAGGCAGAGAGGTCTCAGTGTGTTCATGTAGGAGAAAGGAGGAGAAAGTAGAGGAATGAGGCTTCTGTGTGTAACTCCACATTTGCCATGTGTTTATAACTTGAGGCATCTTTACATAGTAGTGGGACCTAAGTCCTAACTTCCTTAAGTTAATGCTGGCTGAGAGTTGTCACATGTTCTAGACCTTGTACAACTGGGTCTCGCTTGTTTGCTTGCTTTCTATTACGTTTAGGGGAAAGGAGCCCGTGCGTGTGTGATACTTTCAGCTCATCTCCTGCTGTCCCCTGCTTCCTGGACTCACTGGGGAGAGGGGCTCACTTGGAAGGCAGCCCTTTCTGGTAGTGGTCAGAATAGGAGCCAGGTGTGGCAGCCAGTCTCCTGGAGTGGTGTATCCTCCTGTTCTGAACAGGAGCTGGTCCTAATGTCGCAGCAGGATAACAGTGTGGCTGGAGAGCAAGTTGTTTCAGAGATGCAGAGGACAGCTTCCCCTGTTCCACAAGGCTGACAGAATAGACTGTGACCGCCAGATGGATCCAGCTGTTTCCCTGTCTGCTCCATCCCAACCAAACATACTTCAAGTTCAAAATAACACTTACATCATCAAAACAGAAGTGTTTACACTGTTAAGCCGTAGGCTTTTAGTGATTGAGTTGTTAGTCTGGTGGCAAAGGGAGTGAATGCCCTTGCGTGGTATGGGTCTGGGAAAATGCAGGCCCAAGGTGGATTTTCCAGTCTTCTGAGACCACAGAGTTTAAAGCCACAGATCTAGACCCTGGTTAAGTGGGAAGTACCTTCATGCCAGCCTCTTCATTCTTTCATCTGTCTGAATAGCTCCTTCCTCACCCTCAGCTAAAATGAATTCAATAGAGTGAATTTATCCAGGATTCTTCACTGGTTTTACACCTTTTTTTTTTTAAATAAGTAATTTTATTGTGGCAGTACTGGGGTTTCTTTTTTGGCAGTACCAGGGTTTGAACTCAGGGCCTTGCACTTGCTAGGCAGGTGCTTTACCACTCGAGCCACTCCACCAGCCCTTCTTTACTTGTTTTGATAAGATACTGTGTGGTGGTGTTTTTGCTATCTTGACAATTTATCCTTTGTACTGAGCTGCTATGGTACCCTTTCTTCTCATGTTCAGATAGTCCTTTGTGAAGGGGTCAGTCTTTTGGGTCAGATCATGCTGGAGGGTAGGTTCCCTCTCAAAGGCTCAGTTAAAATGTACTATCCTAAGCAGCAGTTTTTCCTATTCTAGAATTACTTGGTATATCTTCTCTGCATTTTCATTTCTGATTGGCCTTACTTAGCTAATAATTTCATTTATATCCCTCACAGCATGATTGAATCTTGGCAAAGACTTGTTGTTGTAAAGTATATATTACATGCAGTGGAAGAGCACTACTGCAGCAAATAAAGGATTGGGCCAGGAGAGGAAAATCTTGTAATCACAGTAATCATGTTCCAAAATCCCAGTGGTCTCAGCTTCTGTTATTGGAAAGGTAGCAAGAATAAGTTATTCTTATTAAACTTGTTATTCTTAAGAGCTAGTAATTATAAAACTTTTAACCTGAATAGTAACTTTATATCATTGTGAGATACAGAATAAAAAGCTAAATATTTCCTTAAAGCATCATTATAATTTTCATTATAATTTTGTATTCCAAAAGGAAATTCAAATTATTACCATTTTTTTTTACAGTTTTAGCATGTTCCTATTTTTACAAGCATTTTTTCTGTCAGCCTTGTGTGACAGAGCTTCTATGTTACAGAACAGGAAACTGAGGCTCAAACAAGTTGATGAACAGACCTACTAGCATTGAGTAGGCATAGAAGGTGCCACTGTTCTGTGCTGTATTGGCCCTAGTTGTTGGTAGTTGATTTTGTTTAACTATGTGGGGAAATTCTTGCATACTCTCTTTCTTCTTCTCTTCCCCCTTCCAGTTTTCAGTGCTGCCCACTTGTTATGTATGCACCTGTTCATGTCTGCGTCTTTGCCTTTTTCTTAAATATAAATGCTCTGTGTTGCACGAAGGCTTAAGTAGCTATGTTTTGAACCCTCTGATAAAATCTTCCTATGAACTGTTCATTGTTAGGCTTCTTGGCCAAACCAGGCAAAGGCCCTTTCTTGCTGGGTGTTTCTAAGAGTAAGCAGCTACTTCCTTCCTTCTATGCATGCCTGATCAGCAACAGTATGTAAAGGAACAAATGAGCCTGGCACGGAGTTTGTGCTCCTTTAGAGGCTTAATTTCTTGTTCTTTCCTTCCTAGCTGAGTTTTAAAAGTCCGTTATTTATTTTCTTATTCTCACTTTGTTTCTTCTAGAGTGACACCCCTTTCCTCCCAGAATGTGATGATTCATCACGGCCAAACCCAGGAGTATGTGCTCAAGCCTAAGTACTTTCAAGCCCAGAAGGTGATCTCGGGAGAGCAGTCCACAGAAGGCTCATTCCCATTCAGATATGGGCAGGATCAAGTCGCAGCACCTTTTCAGTGTGAGTATAGCTCAGGCAACCATTTTCCTAAGTTTAGATGGCTTTAATATGTCACAGCAGATAAAATTCAAGTCATTAAAAAACCCACATTGGTTCCTAAAACAACCAGACAGCAGATATGTAGCATGATTTTCATCTTCTGAGGAAAGGTAGTTTTCCTGGGTTTTGGAAATAAATCTAAGGTGATATGCCTGTGATTCTGTTTCTGCAAAATGTCTCCTTCTCGGAGATGTATTTGCTGTAGTTTTAGGCCCACTCATACCTCAAACGTGTTTACATTGATCATGTTTTCTTTAGTAAGCCAGCCAAGATTCATTTGTTGTGAAATGTCTGAAGTGCCCTACATAACTGAGGTTCGCCTATAGTGACTATTTTTGTGTTATACAGTCCATATACTTTTTAGTTTATCAAGCAGATTTTAAATTTGTAAAGGGCTATTGTATCAGTGGCCAGCTTGGTCAGTATCTCAGTATATGAGCTCAAGGACACAGACCTGGCTCAAAGGGTGCGGAATGTGATGATTTGTGGTTTAGGTATTACAGAGCGTCTGCTGGCAGCCTCTGCAGAAAACACTGTGGAGCGAGGTGCAGACCATTCAAAGGGGAGAGCAAGACACACACTCCTTCCAGAGCCTTCCTGCTCGGGTGCATGTTGAGTTGAGTGATTGCCTGCCTGAGTAAGGAAAGACAGTGCCAGGTATGAGGTGGAAAGGGCTGTCTTTCACCACCAGGAATAGTACAAATAGCTGGTAGAATTTTGTTCCTGCTTGACACGTTACAAGTCCATATCTGCTGTGGGCTTGATCTCTGCTGCTGTGCCCACCTTCCAACTTCTGTACTGAACCTAAAGTGATTGACACTGCCCTGAGAATTGCTCGTTTGACACAGAGTATCTACTGGCAGGTTTCTAATCCACTTTTCATCTTTTGAGAAAGTTCTGTTCAGGGACTGGTGACTGGACCCCTTAGCAATACTGTGATGTGGTTTATTGGGATGATGAGCAAAACAAGCTTGGTACCCTTGAGAACAAGACAGAAGTAATTTTCTTCCCTTTAGGCAAGATTGCTTCCAAGTCATTTACAAAAGAGTGGATACAGTGACGAGATTTTTAAAGATCCTTGCAATTTAAGTGTTGAATAGCATGCTATTTACATATGATTATGCCTGGAGTTTGTAATATTTTTCAAACCCTAATTTAAAAAATAAACAAAAAGAGACACTTCTTTTTCCTTAGGGTCTTGTACAGCTATATACATACATATATATATATATGTATTGCAGTACTGGGGTTTGAACTCAGGGCCTACACCTTGAGCCACTCCACCAGCCCTTTTTTGTGATGGGTTTTTTTTTCAAGATAGGGTCTTGTGAACTTTGCCCCGGGCTGGCTTCGAACCGTGATCCTACTGATTTCTGCCTTGTTAGTAGCTAGGATTGCAGGTGTGAGCCACCAGCACCTGGCTTATTTTTAAGAAGCTCTCTGAAATTAGAATGTGATGGGGAGGGAATTTTTGAAAGTTTATAATCATATTGGTAGAGGAAGGGAATTCTGAACTCTATGGAGGTATTCAGAAGAGATAGTTTGAGAATCACTGGTATTAAGATTTTAAGATTATAGACTGTGGTTTTGGTTGGTTACCAATGATTTGTTATGGGAATGAAATTCCCACTGTGTGTGTGTGTGTGTGTGTGTGTGTGTGTTTTAAACTTTCAAACCTTTGTTACATTGTCTTCTGGAAGATATTATAGAAGAATGTGAGAAGTGTCTTATCTGGGCTATCTTTAACTCATCCTATTTCAATGGATTTTCTACACCTTGGAGAACTAATAAGGCAAGTAGGCTAACACAGTATCACAAATATGGAGCTCTCTGCTAAAACCCTCCAAAAGATGGCTTCCATCCAAAAAGAAGCCCATGAACTGACTGAAACAACAAGACATCTAAGAAGGGAAGGAAAGGAGACGCAGCTATTTTTGCTGAGGCCAGAGCTCTACTGAGAGCCAGGGGTTTAATTGGAAAGTTTTAAAAAGAGGTAATTTGGCAGGACCATTAAGAACACTGAAATAGGAAAATTGAGTAAGAAAAACAACAGGAAGATTAAAACTAGAAAAAGGCACAAGTGTCAGGAAGGACCTAAAAATGTTCTGTCTCCCTACCGTCCCACCCTGTATCAAGTCAAAGAAGAGGCTCTTCCAGAAAGAAGGAGGAAAAGCTAGTGATGGAAATCTGAGGAAAAGCAGAAGCTTTTAGTGTCTTCATTTTCATCTTTACAGAAGAGAGACTGCAAACAGATGAACTCTTACTGTGCTGCTGAAAGACTGGAAAGTCAAAAGAAACAGATACTTCTGACTCTTAAGGAAAGCAGAAGAGATTAAGGTCATTTGGGGGAAAAAAAGTCATTTGGGCATGCTGTATCTTGGCATGAAATCGAAGGACTGTTGTGTGTCATCAAAGTTCACTGCCAATGTTTTTGGATGCCACTAGGACTAGAGAAAACACTTCGGTTGTTAAAGAACAAGTATTGTTTTCCCCCTTTAAAAAGGATTTCTTATTTTTGAAAAGGTAGTCACTAATTGGTTTGCTTTAAATTGATATCTTGCAAGAGCAACAACAATGCATACATAGAGATAAGTGCTACATAACTTGATCCATTTACAGTAGGTGGACAAAGTGGTTCTGTAAGCCCAAGTGAATAAGGATTTGGTATTGATACCTGGGAAGAGAAAAGAGCATGGTCAGAATAAGCAGGGAAGATATGAGAATGGGATGGTGGATTCAATAAAGCCAAATATATTAAGGTATTAAGTATAGAATTCTTCAGATGGAACAAACTAGATGCGGGAAGCAAACCATCAAATTGCTAGTGAGTGCTCTCCTTTGAGATGAATAAATATTTTGTTGGAATTTTCTAGAGTTTTAGTAACATAACTCACCATTTCTGCCCAATATGAATGCACTACATTTCATATTTTGATTTTATATTTTACTAGACTTCAGAGTCATTTCCTCAGTGACTTGACATTCTAAGTTGAGTGTTCTCTGGTCATTGGTAAAAAGATATCTCTAGTGATAAATTAGTAAGTTGGTGCTCTGCTTTATTTGTTGGTCATAAAAGAATTTAATTTGGCTGAACTCTGTCTAGAGTACAGGTTGGCAAGCTTTCTCTTCAAGTACCTGATTGAGAACAGGGTTGGCTTTGTGAGCCAAAAAGAAAGTTGAGAATGTCATGTATGAACTTACAGAACTATTTAAAATGTCAAAATTATTCTTATCTTGCTGATTGTAAAAAATAGGAGGGGGTGGCTGGATCTGGTTTAGGGGCTCACAGTAGAGACTCACGGTCTCTCAATTCACTAAACACATCTAGACATTGGACCTGATTGCTGTCTAGAACATGACAACACCAAAAGCTGCCAAGAGACCCTGCCCATAAACAACGGTCCTTCATTGTCAGTGTCCTCATCAGCCCACATGCCACATCATGACAGTTCTCAGACACATCTGCGTTTATTTTAGAGGCAGCAGAAAAGCCTGAACTACCATGAAACCACTTGTGTAAGCAGTTGAGTTTCTTTTAATGTCAGAGTCACAGACTCTATTGGGAAAATAATGGATTTTCTTCCTGGATGTTTTCAGATAACCTTTTTATATTAATGGAAATAATGTTTTCCTGAGATGAGCTGGTAATGATCGTATGGCTGAAGTGTATAATATTAAGATACTACTTGAATTCTACAAAAAAAATTAAACACAGAGTGACTGGGTACCCAGAAAGTCCAGCTCCTAGGTATATACCCAAGAGAGTTAAACATATATTTCACAAAAAGATTTGTATGTAAATGTTCACAGTAGCATTATTCATAATACCTAGTGAGTGAGAACAAACCAGATGTTCATCAAATGATGAATGAATAAACAAAATGAGGTATTTACATACAATGGAATATTAGGCATGAAAAGGAATGAGGTACTAACACTTGCAAGCTAGTGAAAGTGTTCTTTCAATTGTATGCTAGCGAAAGAATCCAGACACAAAAGAATCTAGACCACATGCTATGTGATTCCACTTATATGAAATGTCTAGAATAGGCAAGTCCATAAAGACAGAAAGTAGATTAGTGGTTGTCAGGAACTGGGGAGAGTTTTTATAGGCAGGAGGTTTCTTTGGGGTGATGAAAATGTTCTGGAATTAGATGGTTGTGATGGTTGCACAACCTGTGAGTATACTAAAAAGCACTGAATTATACACTTGAGACGGGTGACTTCTATGGTATGTGGATTGTAGCTCAATTAAAAAATTTAAAAAATACATACTTATAAAAATAATTTCCAAATAGGTCATTCTAAAAGACTCAGCCCCAACTCTAAGGAATGATGCTCTATTTCTCCAGAGTCTTCAGGAAAGTGTAGGGTTGGGGCAGGGTCTGCTTTATCCAGTGTCTTCCTTGGTGACTTGCAGGAAAGAATTTAGTATGTAAACCATTTCTGTTATGCTTGGTTTACTAGTATTTTTAACCTAGAGGAAGAAAAATTGAAATGATACACTACTTGAAAACCACTATTTAAAAAATGGGTATGTTGAGATTATTAGACTAGTATGTTCTTAAGAGTAAATTACTTATCCACAAAGAGATTAGTTTGGTATAACCCACTAGAAAAAGACCATGAGGGTAATAAATGTCCACACCATTCTTTCTGCTATTGTAGTAAAATTACCTTGGAATGCTTGACAGTATTAAAACCAGAAAATACTATTTCAAATAGAGTGTATGGAAGGACAGTGTTTCCATTAGGGTTATAAGACACTGCAGAACCAGGGCAGACTGCAGTTACTTACCAAAGTGATCTTTACCACACACCTAGCAGATACGGTTCCCTTGACCACTGGCTTCCAGACTATGCAGAAGGGAGTCCTACAACTAAGAGATTTGGGAGCCTTCCGTGTAAATATTCAACAGCCTGTTTCCTTTTTCTAATGTATCTCTTTTAGTATTTAAGGA